CAGCTCCTCCAGAAACTTCACCCCAGGTAGGAATCTCATCCTGCCATTGCAGATCCACACCAGCTTTAGTAAAATGTGCCTTCTTCCTATATAGTGGGTGTCTTATCTGTAGTTTACAGATGTGAAGACTAAACTTCAAAAAGCGGAGAGATAAGTTAGGTTTGTATAGCTGGTTGGTGGCAAAGCTGGAATCTGACCATAGACATATCCAACAGCAAATGTGTACTAAAGAGGGAGAGATTGCACTGAGAGAGAAAACATGCAATCGAAAGTCTCAAAGGCAAGAAAGAAAATCAGGACACAATGGGCCCAGGTCACCCAACTGTCACAGCCTCCGAGGACTGGACTGGTCTTTAAGTGAATCTCTTCTTCCGTCTCTAATGATATAAGGAGGTGTGGTATAGCTCCTTGGAGACAAAATGGGCAATGATGATTTCAAGTCAGCAGATTGACAGTCTGTTAAGTACTGACCCTAACTAGCTTGACTAGGTGAAGATGAGGAGACCAGGAGACCATAAGGACTAAGAAGGCTGGGGTAGGAATAAATAAAGATAGTATCATGACCATTTCTTTACCATATTCTAATCTGTGTCCTTTAGATGCTGCAAAAAGTCAAGAGAGCTGGGCAGAGAGCAAGAGGAAAGAAAAATTAAAGAGAAACAAGAGAAATGAACGTTCATGAAGTGATTTTGTGTGTTATCTTTCTGACTATCACCATGTGCCACATTTCTGCTACTTGGATGCTATGACTTTAGTCAGGCCATTTGCACAATTACAGTAAAGTGACCTCCAGTCCATGTCAGTCTATGACCCATGAATATTTACCAGGAGTGCAGGAACAGCCAGGCCAGGGTTCTGAGACTGGCGTGCTTCCTCGGGGCCAGACTGGGATGGAGAGCAGCGTAGCACAGACAGGTCTGTGATGGCTCCTCTCCTGGATGAACCATCCCAGCTCAGCTCCTCCAGAAACTTCACCCCAGGTAGGAATCTCATCCTGCCATTGCAGATCCACACCAGCTTTAGTAAAATGTGCCTTCTTCCTATATAGTGGGTGTCTTATCTGTAGTTTACAGATGTGAAGACTAAACTTCAAAAAGCGGAGAGATAAGTTAGGTTTGTATAGCTGGTTGGTGGCAAAGCTGGAATCTGACCATAGACATATCCAACTCTAAAGCCTATATTTGTGACTACAGTGGCTAATCTGGAAAGTGTGCCAGGACCCCTCCCTGTGCACTGGCTGCTATCACAGTTACTTGCAGCTCTCCACATTTCCGCACTTTAGTGACCATATGAAAAGAACAAAGAAAAACAGCAGAAAATGACATCATATTAAAAAAAGGATCTACCACATTTAAATATTAACTTGCCTACTGAAGAACATTGCTGATAATTGAACAAGAATTAAAACTGTAATGTAGAACATTAGGGAAAGACAACAGTATTCATTATTTTTAAAAAAAGTGGGTATTTTGCTACTGCAAACACTTTTTTTTCTGAACTGATGAAGTTTCCCTAAAAAAATATCTACCATGGAAGACCCATCAATGAACAACTAATGCTACTGCTCATTCATAGAAACAAACAAAATCTCACTTATTAAAACCAAGGTTGGTGAAAACATCCGTTAGTATGTATTAAAAAAACAAGGAATTATTCGCGATTAACAAAACTACAATTCAAAAAGCTGGCTAGTAACTGAATTCTTAAATTATTGGCAAAAAATTTAGCGGAAATGAGAGCTAAAGTTTATAACCAGGAAAAAAAAATTAATTAATTCTATGTCTACTATAGCATTAATAGTCTAATAATTATGAGACTAAAAAAAAGTCTCAACCATTTGTGAGCTGGCTTAGTTCAAACAATAAATGATCAGCTAATTCAAAAAAAATTCACACGTTGGCTTACTACTTATTGACATCAGTCCAAGTTGATCATTAGCAGAAAAAAATATTTTATGTTAATCATGTTTACAAAAGTCTGTGCTTGCACCTTCACATGCAAGAAAAAAAATGAGGTGCTTCATGGAAGGAAGTGTCAAAACACTTTCTGTTAAGCAAGGAATTAAAAAAAGTTAACAAAGGTGTATGGTCAAAATAAGGATCTTTCAGATTAAGCTAAAAACACAAAAAAAAAAAATACTTAAAACAGAAAGTATTTAAGTAAAAATACTTAACAAAGAAATATTAAAAAAACAGATTTCCTCTGATAACTTTGCCTTCCAATGTCATCTGCACTTATTTTCCATCAGACGAAAAGCCCTTCTGTTTCTCTCTCCCTCCCAATGGACTCCTTTCTCTTAAGAGTTGTAAAAAAAGACTTCTGCCATGACTGGTCTTTTTATTTCTGTTCATGTTCTGTACGTGTCTCATACAACCAGGTTTGAAGTCAGTTTTCCTCTAGAGAACATTACTACAAGGAAAAAGCTGGATAAAAAAATGGCCATACTCACTGTCTCTACAAAGTGGATTTCATCATAACTCA